GAGGTGGCGGTGTTTAGAGCAGTCTTTTCTACTTAAAATATACCAGTAGTTACAGCTGAGTTTGTTTCATCGTATCTGATGCTTACTTTAACATCTTCAAATGTGAAACATACCCTTTCACGTGTGATTTGTTGCAAATGTAAATTCTCTCACAATTATGTGATATCTTATGAAAAACACCATTGCACAGCCAGCAGGACAGGTTACAGATAAAATGTTGTAGAAAGTTAATTTTTTCAGCTCGTATGACAATTCCAATAGCCCCAGTGTGGCAGTACCATCATTTACCAGTTGCTATAATTTGTGAGATTTATGTATGCATTTGTGTGCGACATTGGCATGGCGACAACCAGAGAATTCCATAATGCAGGCAGCCATACGTCATTGATGTTATGTTTGGGCATGTACTATGTCTAGTTGGCCATTGATTATAAATGATCATGTTTAAATCTTGCTTGTCTGGTTCTAGCCCATGCAGCTACATTAAGTTACATGACACCATAATAACGTCTTTTAACTTTTGCCTTTACATTGGTCATGCGGTAATCAAAGCCAAAAAAGGCATAATTGTCGAGACTTTCATATCCGGCGTTCGTGAGCACGATTTCCAAATGCAACACCCGTCAGTTGGCACTTAATCAATGTCATGCAAGGGTGCGATGACGCGATCATACATAACTTATTCAAGAGCTCATTTACTAAATAGAGAAGTTGCGATGTTTAGATCAGTCTTTTCCACTTAAAAAATATGCCAATAGTTATTTAGTATATTATATATAAAGTATATTAAATATGCCAAGTGAGGTTATTTGGCCTATATCTGATGCTTGCTTCAATATCTTCAGATACGGAATGCTCCTAGATAAGACAGTAGTATTAGCCTCATTCCTCTGGAAAAAAATCGGGAGAATGGAGATATAGTTGGGTTCATATTTCGACAACATGCCTTCATGGAAACAAGAGCAGAAGGCTGCCGCTCTTGTTTCGATAAAGGCATGTAGCCGAAATATCAACCCAACTATATCTCCATTCTCCTGGTTTTTATCCGAGGAATGAGGCTAATGCTGTTGTCATATATGTGTGAATAACGTTCCTCGCTAATGCACTGAACAACTTACGGAATACTCCCTTTAACTAAAGGAACGATGAGAGCCTCCTGCCAAGACACAGGAACTCTCCGGTCTCCCATACCCTGCTGAAAGCAGCCAACAGAGTTCCAAATACAGACGTGGGTAGTTGCTTAAGCATATCATCATGGATAAAACCCGGACCCTCCGCAGCTTTACCCAGAGAACTGGTCGCAGACTGACTTAGGACATCTGGAGCGGTCGGTTATGCGGAAGTCTTATCTCCCGTGGCGAAGTTCATCGGTGTCGCACCGCATCGACTATGATCTCGCATGAACTGAGAACAGGCATTTCTCTCACCACACTGCTCGGGGAACGCTGGGCCGATCCCAATCGCCACGTCACTTGGATGCTGAATATTACAGCCGTTCATACGCAGTACCGGCAGCGCCGCAGACAAGTGCTTTTCGGCAATCAGGCATTGAAGTAAACGGGTTTCATGCATCACGCATCACTTTACATGCAAACGATTTCAGTTAAACAGGCATCGCGCATCATGCGCCAGGCAAGCATTACTCATACCTGTAAATGATGCACGCACGCATCACACATCACGGCACCGATCACAGTCACATAATCGGCCATGATGAGCGTTGTACCTTAAGGCCTGGTCGCCTACTTCTCATCACACAAAAGCATCACCTCTTTTTCTGTCTCGATGGCCCGGGCTCTGTAAATGATTCGATTTCTAAAAGGGGCTTAGGGTCCCTACGTCTCTGGATTTCATCTTGAGCATATTTTGTCAATAAAGGGCCGCCGAAATGGGCATTGGCTATTTTTGTTTGTTTTTTTTGGCGTCTTGCTGGTGCACATCATATATCCAACGAATAGGCTAATAGTACTGTCTCATCTATATGCATACTGTTTCTCGTAAATGTCCTGAACAACTTACTGAGTTTGCTGTTTTGCGAATGCCCACAGTCATGGCTAGTGATGTGTCTGTGTTGCCTTCAGCGGCCCGGATACTGTACATGAATCTGTCAGAAGTCATTACTCGCCTCCATTCACACCACTCCTGAACTCGACCTTAATGCCGCCGTCTCTAAGTTTGCCCTACCTAAAAATGTTACCAAGTCTACCTCGTTCGTCTCATCGCTGAAACGGTGAAATGGATGCCACGTGTCTGCTCTCTGCGGAACATCAAGATCCGGAGGCTGGACACCGCCGCCACCCCGGGGCTACGTTGTTCCTCGTAAAGGACGGGAGGTTTTTTAGTTTAATGTTGCCATGCGATCTGTATGAAGCGTTCTGCACAGCGGCTTCCCACCCACCTCGGAGCCCAACTCGCGGACCTCCCACCCAAAACGAGGTGGTGCCGCTGGGGATACCGCGGTGCTATACGGTGCGAACGACGCCTCCCACGCGGCCAGGTGTAAGCGGAGAGACCCCTCCCCGTCCTGGCGGTGGTTCGGCGTCGCCCCCGCTTAACCGCTTCAGCCGCTGCACGCGGCCAGGCGCGAGCGACATACCGCTAGACCCGGATGGGGCCCCAGGATCCGATCAACCCGTAGACCCGGGCGAGAGGGCACGACCCGAGGGGGCGCCGCTCCCCTACGGCCGGCCAAAGCCAGTGTCTCCGCGGACAAGTAACGTCCGTCTTTTCGTCATGTCAACGCCACCGGCAGGCAGTCACCACCGGCACCTACCAACACCACAGGCACCAGCTGTGTTGGTCGTATTGTTTTCGCTATGCTAGTGTTTGCGAGATACTCTGTCTTTTAAAAATATGTGTTCGTATGCCTGTGCAAAAAAAGTATTCGGCTGAATAGAAATCGTGTTCGGCGTCCGCATACTTGTATAAGATAATTTATTTGACTCAGTAAGGCCTAAAAAGGTTCTAGCACGCGCTAGCCTAAATAGCTCAAAACAATTGGAATCATACATTACGCTGTCTACCATAACACTCGTGCATGATTTGGGAAGACCAACTGTCGAAATGTGACGCTTCATTAACGGAAATATTGGCTTTTTACATAATAACGTGGAAACCGCGATCAAATAACCACCTACAGATTGTTGTAACTTATCCTGCATACCTAGATTCTGGCAACTGGAAGTTTTATCTAATTAGTGCAGTTTTCATGAGTTGACTATTCCAAAAAAGGAGATAGAAAAAGTGCCAGTTGGCCAACGTCACCAAATAGTGTCTGCGTTGAAGCCTCGACTCGGCTTTGTCTAGTGTTAGGATTACCCTGGCGCCTAGCATGACCAGATCTTCAGCTAGCCGGATTTTAACCAGTGCGATTTATGGATTATCGTGCAATATGTCCGGTACACGACTTCCAGAGCACATGCATAGGCATGCAGTTCTCAGATATCTATAGCTAATACAGTACTAATAACCTTATTCAGGGGTGTCAATTTTTGTAAATCATTGGGGGGGGGGGCGATACAAAGTTGCGACAAGCTACATCCCCCCGCGTATTTTTCTCACTGGATTTAGCCCACTTAAATTTTGATTAAACGCAATAGAGGCTTTTAATCTTTGTATAAGTTGTAAAAATCTTTAATTTAAGCAGCATAAAAGCCACGCAGGGTTGGATCCAAGGAGCAGGCACTGAACGCACGAGTCTCTTCTGATCGGCACGTGAAGGCGCCTAGAGGCCACCTAGAGGCGCTTTAGAGGCCACCTAGGGATCCGATGGCGTTTTTCTATGACGGTTTTTGGGATAGTCTTTGGGTTATGATCATCTTTTATCCGCGTTTTTGGTGGTGTACCGGCCAAAAATGTTGGGAGGTCAAGCCAGTGTCGAGGGGCCCAACTCAACACCAAGGGTCCTCAACCCGGAGCCGGGTCTGTCCCTGCTGTTGTCCGCAGGCTGGACGGGAGCCGGCAGTCCGGCACCACCGCGGGCGCCCGCCAGGTCGCGCCACAGCTGATCCATGCTGGTGTCTTTCGCAGTGTCGGCGCATGTTCAAATATACTTGAAAATGCTTTGACTACGTTTTACGTTTGGCGGATGGTTATTCAGCGTTACCGTCTTCAGCGAGTTAATACCCATATCGGCCACACCAAGCTGGGTCTTGTCTGTTGACCGTCTTCGGCCTTGTCCGGCAGGCTCATGACAATCTCTGTCGCGTTCGACAGGCCTCCATTCACCTCTGTCGTATACAGCGAGCGCACTCTTCAACTCTATCATGGTTAAGTGCCCGTCTCAAGCCCTGCTATCCTACGCAGCCCCGTCCGCGTCTCTGCGGCATCTCGTAGTCCTGTCCGTATCTCTGCCATGCCTCACAGTCCCGTACCCATCTTTACCACGTCTCACAGTCCCGCCCCATCTCTGCCATGCCTCGTTTTTGCGTCCCCATCTCTGCCACATCTTACAGTCCCGTCCCATCTCTGCTACGTATCGCGTTCCCTTCCCATCCCTGCGACGTCTTACAGTTCCGTCCCTTCTCTGCCTCGTATCGCGGTTCTGTCCTCATCTCTGCCACGTCTCGCGGCTCGCCCTGCCGTGCCGTGCTCATCGGCCCGCCGCCGTGACGGCGTCTGCCGGGCGGGCGGCTCGTCAGAAGACCCCGCTGACCGGCGTGTCACTCATGGCCCGGCCACGCACTGAAGGGCTGCGCGAGGGCGATTAGCGCCGCCGCCAGGTGCGCGACGCGCTGCGCTGAATGCCGGCCGCCGAGATCAGAAGCTGCCGCCGCTGCCCCGCGGCGCCGGCGTCTTTGATCCGCGCCGTAATGTAGAGCCGCGATTATTGTTGGCTCTGTTGTTTGTATTAAGCATCGGCGGCGGCGCAGGGTGCCTCGCGCGCGCAGCCGGAGGTCACGCCGACACCTGGGCCGGCGGCGGCGGCGCGCGCGCGCGCTGCGACACAATCCGTTCCCCTGTCGCCGCTCTCGGCGCCGCCAGTCGATCTCGGAGGTCAGCCGGCGTCGGACGCACCATGGTCACGCTGCGCGCTCTGCTGGCGCTCGCGCACGTGCTGCTGACGGCCGCGGCGCCAACGCCGCCCGAGACCGAGCACCGGCGCTGGGCGGACGCCGCGTTCGAGCTGACCACGGCGCTGAACTGCTCGGACGCCGTGGTAACGTCGGCCGCGCGCTGCGACCGGCTGAAGCTCATCAGCCGGCAGCGGGCGGCCGTGTACCTGGCCGAGCGGCCCGCCGGCACGCAGCTGGTCTCGCTGCTGCCCGACGGCGAGCTGACGGCCGTCGGCGACGTCGACGCAGTGCTCGTCATCGACCCGTTCCCGGACGCGTCTTGGGGCCACCTGGTCACCGTGTTCACCGTGGAGCGGCACCACAAGGCCGGCAAGTGCGGCCCCTTCGGCGGCGTCAGACTAGGTATGGAACTGAAGTGGGCCCGCAGAGGAGAGCTGGGTGTGGAGCTGGGGCCGAAACTACAGCGGTGGGTTGGGTGTGCAGTTGGGGCCGTGCCCGCAGCGTCAGGTGGGCTATGGGGCTGGAACGGGCTTGCGCGCATGCTGTCAGACTTGGTGTGGAGCTGCGGACCCAGCCCACGGCGGACCCAGCCCACGGCGGACCCAGCCCACGGCGGACCCGGTCCAAGGCAGACCCAGCCCACGGCAGACCCAGCCCACGGCGACCCCTGCCCACGGCGACCCCAGCCCACGGCGTAGGCTTGCTCGAAGCTGAGACCGTCCTGTCCACTGAGTTATAGACGGGGTGTGCAGTTACGGCAGGCGCGCTTACCACGCTTGATTAAGCGCGCAGCAACGGCACAGGCGTATCCTCTGTTTTTATTTTTACCACATATGTAGCTACCTTAAAACCTTTAGAGACCTCCAACTCTTAAGATAAACTTGACGCACGTGTACATGGACAAGCGTGACGGTACCACGAGACGTTACATAGATGGGAACACTCGCTACGCAGCTGGGTCACACAGTTGTGTTCGTTCGCCGGCGCAGGCGGGCTTATCACGCGGCTGCAGCATGCGGCCGCAGTGCTAGAGCAGACACCAAGTGGTGAAAGAAACGCCGAATTGCGCTCTCGTGAAATAACCTGAAATACTTCGTGCAATTAAAAAAACCAACAAATTCCATGTGTTTTCGTTGTTTGGTACCTCACCTCTGCCACACATTTGGACGTGGCGCGGAACACCCAGTTGAGGCACTCGGTAAGCACATGCCAAAATTGAGTGCATTCTTGACAAATATGTGTTTAGGTCTGCCCGGAAATTGTCAAAAACTTGAGCCGCGAGACATTGTCAACGTTCTTGTCTAAGTGCTAACAAACTTCCGGATGTTTAAAACATTGTGTTACGTAAGCACATTCCAAATCATTTTTGCAGCTCTCCCATTTAGGCCAGCCTGCCGTCGATGGCATACACGTGATGTCCTGCGTTCATCTGCCTTCAGAGGTGCAGATGTCGTACGCAATGATCCCACTTCACTACTGCTCGAATTGTGTAGACTTCTTGCGCGGCTGCTTTCTTTTTTGCGCATGGTTTTTGGCTTCTGTTATCAGACGGTTCTCTTCGCATGACCTATAGGTGCCGAAATTTTATTTGCTCCTTGTCGTCAAAAAAGAGTCGTTACAATCATGCCAATAATCGATCGGCATGGGTGGACGACTCAAGGTGGTGGCAAACGGGTCCTTCGTGGACCGGTCCGTTTGGGTGCCTCGGAGCTTTGGTTTGATCTGGTAGAGAAAGAATGCATTTGAAAAGGTTGCAACTTGGTTGAACCACCCCTTAGTTACTGAGTAAGACACCGACTATTGGATCTGTTACGGGGCTTACGCAGGCACGAACGTCAGCCTAAAAAAGGAGAGCTGGTGCTTACCTGCTTATGGAAAGGTGAGCTGCTTCTTCAGTAGCTTTAACAGATCATGGAGGTAAAGAGCTTGTACTTTGCCACACGCGGCATGTCCGCACGGAATAGCGATACCGCACATCCGATTGGTGTGGCTATTAGTGATGAAGGCGCAGACAGAACGGTACATATTGGCCCTCACCACGGACCAGGATGCACTAGCACTGGAGTCATTCTGCTCAGAAATGAAATAGATCGGAGAGATCACAGCAGGCTTACAGCCCGCTATCGACGCCGACGTGTGGGACGGCCCAGTCGTAGGAGGAACTTGCTTCCTCTCTGAGGGCCTTGCCTCATGACATCTTGGCCTTCAGTCTCCCCAAATGCGAGGCTGGAACTGTCCTCAGGTTCGTTGCAATAGGAAAAACGCAGCGTTTTTCGGTGATCTGTTGTTCGCCCCTCCCGCTAGTTTTACAGAGTTCCACTGCTGAGCTCAGCAGTTAACCGCTGAGGCGCGTGTTCATTGTCAGCATCCGGCCGGCGGTTCTGCCGGGGCTGTACACGTTAGGCTTTCGCGGTGAGCTGCCTGCGGTTGGGTCGGCCGTTGCGTGCAGATCGTAAGTGAAGTTTATGTTTTTTTTCGTCTGTGCTCTGCAAAGGTAACCAACTACGTCGCCCTCCTACATCCGTTTGCCGTAAAAACTAGCCGCATCAATGTCGGTGATAGCTTTTCGTAAACCAGGCCACTTGCTGTCTCCTCTATGTTGTGATGTTCAGGCATTGCACGTTTTGCTTGCTCTGTTCGGCAATGTGACCCGACATCAAGGCGTAAACATTCCTGAACACCAGGGAATAATTGTTTTTAATATGCATTACACATGGCCGGAGCTGTGCATGCCTCGGCTTTGCGGCTTATTAAGCGCATTTTCAGGATGCGTTCGGTAAATTGGTCTTCATCAGGGATAATACCACCGCCTTCACACTCCAACGCTCATCTCGCCGCGAGAGCTGGCACTGGTGGAATGACAGCGTGACAGTATGGGACCGCCAAACAATTTAACTGGGGACCAACAAAGACGGCTCGTTGTTCGCTGATGGACATGGAGTGGGATCTTCATGAACAACTCACCCGAATCCCCGTGCACCATTAGTTGCAGTGAGTATCGCCTCCGGTTGGAGATTAACCGGGAATATTTCACGACCTTTTTTGAGAATCGTATATGACAAAACACACATAAGAGTATGAGTATATAAGAGTATGCGGCGGGCGAATAGTTTCGTGACAGATGCAAACTACATTTGCAGCCCCTGCCTGTACATCCCGAAGAATTAGTACTGTGACCCCACTGAGCCGCCACGTGATGCAACATCTATTTCAGCAACCCAAAGCTTACTTACGTGGATCACGGTCTGCTGATGCGTGAGATGAGTCCGGGTATTGCTGATTGGATGCGGCCATGTTCGGATGTAATCGCGATTAAAACAAAGTCAGCTTAAGGCGATTCATCGTGATATGCATTCTTTCCAGTTGCATCGTCATGGCCCCGTCTCACACCTTTGGTGTTCGGATAACCCGGTGTGTGCCGTATGCCGAGCTCGACAAACTTCGCCTTCAGCTCACCGTGGTCAGATGCCACCTTCTCTTTATATTAGATTCAGCCGGTTTTTCCAGCTGAGGGATTATTTTACTACGAGTGTATTTGGTGTACGCGAGATGAATGATGTCTTTTGTCAGTAATCCATTTTGGAGAGGAATAGGATCAGTTACAGCCGCCGGATTTAATTAAGTTACAGAAAAAACTATGTTCTGCGCTTGAACTGAAATGCAATTGAAATCCTGGTTTGGAAAGCCTAGTCCGCGCCAATTCTATATTTCAGCGGAAAGGCCATGACGTGAGATGTGATGTTCTAGGGTCGCACTACTTGACAATGGGCAATTTACAATGTATGAAGCTTTCAAGAATGTCGCGCCTTTTGAAACTAGAACGGCAGTCTAGGTAGAGAGCGAGTGGTGGACACAGTGGGTTTGAGGCACAGCAGCTAAGTAGGCTCGAATCCAACCAAGGGTGCCGCACACGCCCAGAAAGGACGGGAAAACTTTTGGTTTTCCCGCTGGCTTTCCAACTGCCCCCCCCCCCCCCCGCAAACCAGCGGGGAGCTTACGTGCTCGGCGTGGCCACGCCTTCAACGCCCTGCATGACAAGTCCAAATATCCTGCATTAATTGGCTAACAGGGCGGCGAAAATTATCCAATACTACGGACCGCTTGCGTGATGGTGTCCTTGTCCACGCTGCCACTTTGGATGGTGAAGGCTCTGAACCCAGCGCAATCGAGCAAGCGATTCATGCGACGCAAATTGAGCGAAGATCTCATGCGATGTAATTTCCACACAAAAGTTACCGCCGCTTTCCGAACCATCTTCTCGCCCAAACCATCCCCACTCACCACCGCATTACACGCTAGGCATGACTTGCGGATTGGCTACTTACTCATACATCAGGATGCTAGACGTTACATAACCATTGATTATTCTTGTGTACATCATGCTGGTGGCTCTCACAGCACGTGACCTATAGGCAAGGTGGCTTAGCGGTGCACGAGATGATCTTGCCGCTCGCTCGATGTAAGGGCGGCTCTGAATTAAGCGGCTTTGGTCATGGAACGCCCAAGACCACTTTATATTGATTTTTAAATAGCTGTTTTTATTTACAGCGCTGGGCATGTCATCGTCAGGTGGACTTCAGTGTTCTCGCTTATGCAAATTTTCTAGTAAATAACGCACTCTCGTGATGTCAACTCAGAGATGGGTCTTGTTTGAAGCACCGCGAATCAGCGTCAGCTGATTGCAGTCAGCTATGGAATACATTATTTGGACCGTATTATTCTCTCAATTGCAGAACGCAACGATATCCCAACTCGACGCTCATTGCATCAAGTTTGATTGTAGCTATTCTGGGCTGGTGGCATGACAATGCTGTAGACGATGTTCACTCTAATGCGGCTTTGACCTGTTGGTGAAGGACGCTGTTCCACGCGATGCTGTAGAAAAGAAATGACCGGGGCGACGACTGACTTCTGGAATGACCGAATGTACTAGAGCAGTTATGGCCTCTGCACGCCATATTCCTACCGGGTAAATCTCACAACACGTAATTACATTTTGGTCTCCCCGAATCGTAATGTCGTAATTAGTGTCGCAACGAGCAGTCGTTATGAGCGCTTGTGGGGCGTTAAATGAGCTTAGTCCCCGCATTACCATGCAGTTTAAACCATACGCTCCTGATGATGTGCCGCTATCTGCTGCTAACCATTGCCCGACAAGCTGACCAGTAAGGTGCCTCCGGCATTGCGTAGCCACAGGATGTTTCAGCGGAAACTTAGCCTGAAGCACATCGATGTGAAATGTCGTAGCCAAGTAACACGCGTGAAATTTTATACAAGCTAGCTTTACAAAGCGTGCAAATGAGGTTATCATTTTGTTTTCTTTGCCACTGATCTGTTGGTATCCAATATATGATGTGATAGTAATTCTAAACTCCTTGTATTTCGCCATTTTTTCCACCCAT